CAAAAGCTGAGCCCGGGAAGAAGGGAGGACTGGGGGGAAGGTTTTGACTTTAAAATCTGGTTGTATCTCCCATTGCTCTACTCTGATGATGGTAACAAATTAAAATGGTTTTGTTTCTATTCCTTATGATGAGTCTGTCTTTTGCCTGTGACCTATTTAAGTGGTGAGAAGCCCTCACAGTCCTTATTTTGACTAGCTCTTTTTGGGGCATTGTGGTGCTCAGTTATGCACTGGGCCTAAACCACGACAAGGTCTTTCATGCAGTTCTTACAACAGGACATAGACCCTAAATCCAGCAAATGATACAGCATAGAAGTTTCTTGAGCAAAAAGCCTTAAATCTGAAGTCCTTTCCTATTGTTCTCTTTCGACAGCTTTCTCTCATTTGATATTTCTGCCATTTTTCGAGGCTGATTTCCCAGCCACCCTCAAAATAAAAAGTACAGTTTGGCGAGCATCAGAGTCAACTGTGTACTCACTGGAATTGAGGAGGATCATTGCCTTGACACACAGATATTCCTTGTGCTGCAGTTTCAGCTCTCGGAACCTTGAGGTCATGGCCAGGAGCATATCAAAGATCTCCAAAATCCCCTCCACGCATTTCCCCTCGTCCCTATGGAAACACATTTAAAATGTTACCAAAAAAGTAGAATTAAGGGACTGTGACTCAGTCAGACAGAAGTCAAAGCACAAAGGAAGCTGCAAAAGGCCTATCCACCTCACCTGTAGGAGAATTCAAAAGGTTCTATCATGATCATGAAATCTAAATTGAAAGTTACACCTTTACGGAAGATCAGCACCTCTAAGAAACTGATTCTCTCTTCAAAGTGCACGCAGGATTGACCACAGGTAAGTATGACCGTATTTCTGTAGGAGGCTTTATCCTCACAGCCAGTGTGATTCTGGATAGTCAGTGTGGAACTGTAGTGCAGGGCGCAGAACCACCTTGACTCATTCTCCAGATTTGTTCTACAAGGAGCTACCACCACAACCAGTGACATCACCATTTGTGCCTGACTGAGGTCTCAGGACTTGGTGAATAAGAAAGACGCCCTAAAATAAGTTTCTTGGAACAGTAAGATATTTTTAACAACCGCTACTCTCATCCCCCAGCATCTTTTCCTTTGGAGGTGTTCATCTAGATTTTTGTGTGGGTTTTTTTTTGGTGGCTTTGTGGTTTGGATATTTTTATGTTTGCAAGTATCTACTGAGTGCAACTTTCTCTATTTTGGATATTAGAAATAGTCCCATGTTTCTGATATGAAAAAAAAACCCCAAACAACCCTAATCCATTCCAATGGGTTTCAAATTAAGCAGCAGCAAATTTCAAACAACTGAAGTTACTGTTCCAGTTTTTAGGTTAGGTTTGTTCGTTGGTTTTTTTAAATGTGCTGGATTAAAAAGCAAGCAAGCTCTGCAACGTAGTGTTGAAAGGGTTGCTTCTTATACTATCTATAATATGAGTTTTTTTTTTTAAGATGAGACATACTTAAGCACAGCAGTGCAGGAGAATTAAACACCTTGACTCCTCTACTGGACCCCAAGAGGAAGGTGCTGAGCCTTCAGGCACAGGCAGACAACGAACCAGGTGCACAAGTGCTGTCTGCAGAAAGGCAGCTGCCTGGATATTGCCCATTTTCCCATGTTCCTCATAGAAAAGCAGAATTTTAAGCGTTCTAGAAGGACAGACAGCTGCCAGTTTCAAAACAAAGACAGACACGTCAGAGAAATACTTGTCTACAAAGATTATGTAGGAAATGTGTCTGAAGTTCAGCTAACATAAAACCAATCAAGTTACAGACCAGTTTAATATACCCACATCTTGAAAGAAGTAAAATTACAGCATGCCCAGATACCTCTCACTCTGCTGTGTCTTGTGGAGATGAAGGAATGTGTCAAATAAGCTCACTCTATTCAGCACGTATTAGCTCCTGAGGAACTAAATGGATCACACATTTTCAGCGATTTTTTATCATTGCATTGAACCACGCAGCATGTCCTTGCATTGAATTTATATGAGCAAATAATAATTTATTTCATATCTTTTATAAATTACATTTATTTCTTTTACTAACCCATTCTGCTTTCTGTAGCTGCAATGATGATTATTCCTGAGCTGAAGCCACAGAACTGGAACAGATCTGAATTTCCCCAGGTTGAAAAGTTTAAGAGGCATTTTAAACCTATCTAAGAGAGCAAATTGTTTCCCAGACTTCTTATCAATGTGAAGTCCAGGTCAAATCCTACTGAAGTCCTGTAGAAAAATACCCTTACAAATCCATATTCTTCCCTGCTGGTACATGATGTTATGGAGAAATCATTTTAAATCTTGCAAACACCCTGCTTTAGCTTGAAAAAAACACTTTCAGTATTAAAAAATCAATCTAGGTTTTTTTTTATATCCCCTTTGACTAGCAGTGCTGCAATGTTCATCATTATAGCTAATTATGAAGTCTGCACTAGGGACAGGAAGAAAAAAAATAGGTAGAAAAGCTACTTAAACCAATTCAAATATGGCCTGAGGCCATGTCTGCTTTTTTTGAGGGGTGAGGGGAGGAAATCTATCAGCTGGAAGGAACTGATGGACAGTGTAGTGCATTGTGTTGATGTGTCTACAGACACGGCATCTCGAGACCTGGACCAAAAGAAACAAAACCAACAGAAGATGTGAAAAATACGGAGAAACTTCACACTGTCGTGTGCCACAGGATCTCAGGAACTGGCTGGTTCAAGGATGCTGCCTATGCTTAGCGTTCCTTAAGCCCCTGTAAGGATGTGGAACTTCAAGACGTTATTGTTACAAACACAACTAAAGTGTATTGTTAGATAAACTATTAAGCACCTTCCATAGTTAATCACCTTCCTCTTACCATTCACCCTACCTCCAAACACACTGACATGAAGTGTTCTCAAGAAATGTATTTCTCTTACCTGTCTAATACAAGGTCTGGTGCAAAAATCAGTTTCCCAGGATGGTCAATTGATCTCCACATCAAACCAATCATTAAAACTTCCATCCAGCAGCTCTCCAAGAGTCTTACTTGGTCATAGAGGCTGAGATCAAGGAAGCCTAAAATGATGAAAATAGCATAAAATAAATCAATCTGTTTATTTCTCTGTTTAGATAAAGAGGACTGAGTATATAAGAAACAAGAAGAAACAGAAACAATTACAGATTGTGAAGAAAGTCAGAGAAAGGAGCATTGACATCAGAAGTGCCATGCTGCCATCTCAAATAGGAACATAAGTATTTGTTACTATCATTGTCAACTCTTCCATAAAACATTTGAAATAGAGCAGAGTGGTGTTCAGCTGCAATTACTCCCGTACAGCTGGTGAAACTCAACTGACTGCAGAGGATCTGCCTTATGCCTGGGCACTTCTTCAGGTGAAGGTCCCAAAGCCTCCTGAGGGGCACAAGGAATTCACTTGGGAAATTCACGTTTGCTGGAGATGCATTGCACTGCAGAGGACTCCTAAGAAGACGGTCTGTCCTTTCCCCAGAAATCACACGGTTGTTGCTGGCAGGGTTTGTTTGCGATTTTTAAAAATCTCATAAGACAGGCGTGTTTCTGAGCTTGTTGGGTAACTGTGAAAGACCCACATCTTGGTGTCCCTGTATTACCACCCCCTTTGTAAATGAGATGTGTAGACTCCAACCCATCCTTTTCCTGCCACCCCCTCCTAAAATTGTGATAAAACAGAAAAAAAAAAGACAAGGGTAGTTGCTGAAGGTGCCAGTGTCCCCATTGCCTCCATTTGCAGCATCCTAGAAGCAAGAGCAGAATTAATGCGTTTGTGCATAAGCCTGTTCCAGCATTTAGTTGTCTCCAGAAGTTACAGCAAGGTCAGATAGCACTGCAACACAGCCAGAAGGGAGAGAGGTCATTGCCTTCCTTTTCCCTTCCACTGCAAAGAAGACTGGGGGAAAAGGATGCATAGAAGCCAAATAAAGAGAAATAAACTTAACACACATGCAAAAAAAAACCCAAAGCCAAATGAAAACCAAACCACAAAAACAAACAAACAAACAAAACCCAATTAAAACCTAAAAACAGAAGTATGAATTCTCAAAGCATGAGTGGGAAAGCAGACTGCTTAGTCAAGAAATAAAGCACGGCAATGACAAGGACCAGTTCAGTGCAGTGGTCACGCTGTCGCCGTGCTCAAAACCGAGACCAGGCCACAGTTTTCAAAGCAGAGCTGCCTTAGATGAGTCTCTTAGCAGAGGAGCTCCATTTTTTAGGGGAGCCGGTGCCTGTGACTCTGCATAGTGAAAAATTATTACAAAGCCTGGCCATGAGAGAAAGGTTTCCCATAGCTCTTTCCAGCTGTCTGAGGTCTTAAATACGCAGAGTACATTTGCACTGCCAAAGAATCTGCTGTTAGTAATTTATAAAAATGCTCCAAGTATTCTAACCTTATTAAACTACTAGGCTGGAAGACAGTCAGTGACAGCCCTGGGTTGACATAAACTGGGTAATGTGCACTCTGTCTTATCATTGCTAAAAGTGCTGCCTTTCAAAATTGGTAGCCTTGCTCCTTATTTCATAAGAAAGGTAAACAAGAGCCTACGAGTGGTTCCTCCTCTCCTGGATTTTGCTGTCACAGAATTTACTACAGCATCCACAGCCAGCAAGAGATTTTCTGTCAGACACACAGTCTTAATTTCAAAAGTGCTTTTAGAAAAATTATCATGGAAGTGTGAGTAGTATGGGCTGACAGCGGCAGTTTCCTGGGAAATAACAGCCCAAAGACATTTCAGAAGTTTATTTAAATAAACATCTACAAAGGCATGTGCTGTTTTCTCTTGTGTAAACAACCAATTATTGGGTTTAAAAACTACCTCCATTGAGCAAGATGTCAGACCAAGCCCCAGCATTCAATCTGCAGATATTTAAGATCCAGATTTATCCCAGACATCATCTGCTAAACTCACATTATCAGCACCAGCAGTATGATTTCTGACCATTGAGCACAGCTATCAGAAGGACTGTACCTTTCCTTCTCCTAACAATTTTCTGCCTTGAAGACTGACGACAGCACATCACCACCACAGCTCCCATTGCGGTGTCAAAGGTCCTATTTCATTTGCTGCAGGGTGCATTAAACGACTTATTTTCCTGTGGCTGTAGTACACGGCCTTTAAATCATATGCTCTATACCTAATAATTTAATTATCAATTTCTAAGGCAGACAAGAAAAGACTTGTGCTGGATGTGCAGTAACTAGCAAAAGACACGCTGCTCTGGCCAGCAGCACACTAGGTCTGATAATGAATCCAAAATTCAATATTATGACAACATCCTAACGAGTAGCAATACAGGTTCAGCTATGAACCACGTTCAACTCTCTTAGACTGGGTCAACAAAGGAAAAGGCCATTATAGAAGTAATGTTCTGCCATCTGACAACTTAGAATTAAAATGCTTGGAATTCAGAAGGAAAAAAATCCAGGCGTCAGCTTCTATTTTACTGAGCAACAACAAAAATGCAATCCATTAAGCTGAAAGTACAGGCAAAAAGCCAGTCACAGAGCAGAACTCGTAACCAAAGAAGGTTTTTAAATATTAAATGTGGAAAGAAGCCTTTCCTATTTAGACAAAAAGTTACTGTTAGCATCAGCAGCTATAAGGAAAAATAAAAATAAAAATATTTTCTTTCACTTTTGGTGAGTGTCAAACTAATATCCAATAATAGCTTAGAAGTGAAAATGGGCTTCTAAACCAGGCACACAAAAACAAATACTGAGCTTTACAGAAAGTAAAATAATGGCTCACTGAGGCATTAGCCAAGAGCTCTGTAAAGCTTTTCTAAGACTTTACTTCCAAGATCCAGAGCATGGACCTGGATAGTCAACATCAGGCAAGAATTTCTGAAAACTGAAATGCTATGTCCTGAGCTTTGGTTATCCCCGTTGTTTTAATGGAAAAAATAAATAAATCCACATTGAAGTAAATTCTCTAACTGCCATGCAATATGGCAACATTGCTCATATAATTAAGTGCATATTAAACATTACATCTGGTTTCGGCATTGTTCTGAAATGGTGTTTGCTTCCGTTCTGTGTAACAGGAGCGATCAGAAAAAACAAACGTGCACGATGAAGTGTCACCAGTCCCAGAACTGTTCTGAAAGGATTTGATTGCTTCAGGGGGCTTTCTTCAAACAGCTCTCTTACTGCCTAGAAAAAGGTTTTATTTCTGACTTACATTGAAAACAAACTACAAGCAATCAATGTCACAATTGGGGTTAGTTTGGAAACTGATAAAATTAATGTCAACTGGCAGAGTTTTTGTGTTTGTGGTTTATTTTTTGGTTTTTTTTTGTTTGTTTTATTTTTTAAGCTGACATAGTTTAAAAAAAGAAACTAAAACAAACAGAAAATGGAAAATGTTGCTTTGGGTTTTTTCCCATTCAATTATTGCTTAAAACGAGGTCATTTTCTAAGGCTTTCCCTAGTTCTTCTTCACAATTCACTTCCTACGGAATTAACATAACCATTTGGAATCCTTTGAAATGGTACTTTTTAATCATGCTTTCCTGATTAGACAGGAAATTATAGCAATAGACACTCTTTAATCCCTTATGGTTACTTACTTTATGCTTCTTAAATCGGGGAAAAATAAGGATTAAGGATTCAGGCTCTCAGTTTAAAACATCCCACATCAATGGCAAAACCACTACCACTTTGCAAATGCCTAGCGTGGTTTAAGATGCTCGTGCTGTGCAAGCATCTCCTCCTCAGCAGCTGACCTGGAACTGGCACACTCTAAACCCATCGCCCCTGAACCCTCCAACACAGTGGCTGAGCCTGTGATCTGCAACCAGATGTGGTCCAGCAGCTGGAGCTGGCAGCACCTTCAGCCACTCCAACTCGATCTGAAATATGCTGCTCTAAGTGTCTCAATTATTCATTGCTTCTTTCAACTCACTGTTTTTAGTTGGTCCTCTTAGCTCTCGCTGAAGGGCCATAGTCTGCAGATCAGGCTATGCCAGTCAGCAAGATTTTCTGCACGACTTTGCCAGCTACCTCCTCTGTGAGCAGGGTTTTATTTCGGCTTTTATTCTTTATTCTGACTGTTTTAATCATGGGTGTGTCATGGAGAAGGAATTGCAAATGTTCACTACTTCCAGTATGTAAGAAGTGAGATGGTACATTGCCATGATACTGCGGTCACATTTGAGACACTCAAGACAATAATGCATACGGCTGTACGTCAGTGCATGCTCCTTGTGTTACCAACAACCAAAACACCGTTACTGATTTTGGTTTTGAAGGAGAGCACACCATAATTCTGAGATTGACACTCTGTGCCACTCTGCATCTGATGCTCTTGTGTAGCAACTATGACAAATGAAGCAATTGCTCAGTGCTTGGACACACTTCAGTTTTCAACAACTGCATTAGAAAACTTCTGTCAGGATTCAGAGAAAGGATTTGGTCTTAAATTCTCTTTCATAGCAATCTAGTTTGCAGCCAGTGTGGGCAGTGTCCTTCCCTTACCTTCGTTTGCGAAGTCTAGCCATGATGGTAGCAATCTAGTTAATAATCCTTTTAATCTTCTAAATCAGATTAATCATGTTTTTATAGTTGATGAGGTAGAAATTACATGCAACACCAACTATGCTTTTTAGCAAAATTGACAAGTATTTGACTGACAACAGACAGCAAATCATGGGTTAGGTCGCTGTCTAAATCACAATACATCCAGGTGAATTACTGAGAGCAATAACTTATCCATTACTATATAGGATAAAAAGCTTAAGTTTCCACACCACACATTTACTGTGCTGTGCTATTATTTCAGTGTAAAGGATAAGACATTGATGGTAAAACCATTGAATATAGTAAAACAAAACAAGCTCGACATTCTTACCAGGAATTTTTTTGGCCCAGCCGATCATGTGAACCAGCTCTTTGTCTGCCAGCTTTGTCAAGGACATCATCATGGAGGCCTCCGTGAACGGCTTGCTGGGACGACTCACCAACACATTGGGAGGCTCCGCTTCCAGCAGGGTTAAAACAAACTGCTCCGGGCTGACTGTGCTGAGCAGGATCTCTTTCACGCGGGTGGCCGTCTCATTGTATTTCTTAGCTTTGCCAAAGCAATGCACCTGATCTTCTGAATTCCGATGGCGCCGCAGGATCCGATATCCGCAACGTTCTCTTCTTGAGCCTTACATGAGAGGCACATGATCGCATTGAATTATTTTCTCTCAGTGTTGCATTATGTAAATCCAAGTGTTTGGGGAGAAGGGGAAAAAACCTCTTAATTGGATGCTCTAATAGTGAACATCAAGTTTCAGAATTGCTAGAGCATTCAGCATTGACTTAACTTTGCACTGACTTCCGCTGAAGCTTTTGTTTATTCTACTAAACAAATTATAACATTAAAAAAATGCTTATTTTTGAACTTTGGTAAACTTATTTTAAAAGTCCATGGGAAAATTCCTGTTGACATTAAAAAGAAATAAATCAGGTCTTTAAATGCAAATAAAGATAGCTGTTTGTAAATTCTGTTTTAGATGTAAACTGGGGGAAGAAAAGACTTCTGAAAGCCCAGGCCATAACACAGAGTAAAGACCTCAGCAGCAGCACCGCTGGGCCTCTCTGCTAACTGGGTTAGCGACTTGCTGAGATGAAACCCACTTGCTCCTTATGTCCCCTTAAGTCAGCAAGAGACTCCCCAGGGTAAATGCAGAGATCTATAACTAGAAGGAGCAAGACCTCTGTTTGGAGTTGTGCATGTGGAACACTATTTCTGTTGCCAAGAGCAGTCCTTTAAATTCCTGGAATTAATTTATTGTTCATCCTGAAAATATCAAACATTCTCCAATCCTCTGCCAGTGTTACTGGTGGGATCACTGTTCTCTGTTCTTGCACAGCTGCCATGGCTTGAGTCTAAAAGTGTCTCCACAAATATGGTTTGCAGATTTGCTAAAACAGCCATGGCTTCTACTTCCCTCTGGCCTCTTCAGCATATTGAATAACAAGGACTATGTTTAATGATAAAAAAAAATCCCTGGCAGTAACTAATGTGCAAGATTGTACCATATTAAAAAATCAGGATATTTGAAAATACTAAGTTACTGAAGGGGTTCTTAGACTGGAATCCTCCAGCACTTAACATTTCTAATATATCAGCTAAATTTTCCTCTAAATATTTTATAAGTTAATTTTTTGTGCTGGTCATCAACACTTTTACTGACATATAATACTCAAAGGTTTAATTTTCATAGATATCAATATGCCTGTGCTAACATAAATCTGTACCAGACTAACATCTATTATTGCATACATAGAGACCATGGAGTCTTAAAGCATGTTGTTTCATTTGGTTTCAGTCCCACAGATCTGATAAAAACAATCTTTTTGCTACTGCTGCTGTCTTGACATTACTACATTTATCAAGTCTTTTTGGTGTGTTGCCTAAAGACTTTTTGCCCTTCTCATAGTCTCTGGTTCCTCTTCATTAGGGTATGTGATTAAAGGCTTCGTAAAGTGCGTGACAACAAAGAAGCAAAGAAACGATGAAGACGGAAGAGTCCCCAGAACCTGATCAGTGACAACAAGGACACTGACTAGGCTACTCTCCAGGGTTATCAAAGGAGAATGATCAGATGTAAAAGAACAGGACGACCACTGAAGTAGTTCTCAATATTGGAGAACACCTTCTACCTGGAAACCCAAGAGACAGGAGAATCCCAATAGACAAAGCTGCTTCAATGAATAGTCCTCATGCATGGAGGAATCCGAGTGGAAAAAGGCATTTGGGACTGGAAGCATTATCAGCTGGAAGTCCAGCTTAAAGTCTACACCATTTTGGACAAGGATTGTTTTTCAGCCTTAAGAGGAATATGGGTAGGATGAAATGGGTTGAGTGCTGACAGGATATCTGCACAAATAATGGGTTGAAGGGCAACAATCAACGATTTGCAGAACCAGCTGCTTAGCCAAATCACATCTAGCGAGAAGTTGCCAGAGCAGCTGAACAGCAGTTTGGGAAAGGTGACATACCAGCAGAGACAATGAGAGCTGGAGACGTTTTCTTCTGGTATATTCATGAAATCAGACTTGATGATACCTCAAAAAAGGTCACCTGCAGAACTACACAAGTCACAGAGCAATTTCCTCAACTATCTGTTGAGGCAAATCCTTTTCTTCCTGAGACAGTCAAAGGACAGTGAGGCACAGACTAATTTCTACAGACACTTGGCTGATGTAGTGAACTCTGTGCTAATCCTCATTCTGGACTAATGCACAAAGGTCAAGAGGAAAGTCTTAAAGTGCTTTGTCAGCTTCAGAAAAACATTAGAGTGGCACAGTGGGCTGCAGCCATGTCATGCACAGAGGGTATGTAAATATTTTCCATCAGGGAAGACAAAGAGGAAAGGTCGACGGTGAGCTCAGCAACTGGAACAAAAGTACAACTGGAGACAGATGAGGAAATGCCTAGGTATCAGGGTGGTTCACCTGCAGAGATCTCCATGGCTCTGATTTCCATACGAATGTGCATGATAGAGACTGTAACCACCAGCAAAGAACTGAACTAAAGCAAGAAGCAACACCTCGCACCATTTCCACTGTCTAGAAAGCTGAAGAACGTTGAACATGGACATCTTGAAGGACGGAGCAAGAAAAATAGCACAGAGGGATTAAAATCCATAGGGAGATGGAGGTCAGAATAGGCATTTTCTTGGGCTGTCAAAAAATACCAACTGCTTCACAACATGCGTAATTTTTATTTCCCAATTCCTAGTGGAGCAGTGAAACCTCAACAAATGACACACAAATAGCAGTCTTTTAATTAAACACATGGAAAAGTCGTTTACTTAGGAATCATATCTCAAATGATAAAGCCAGAAAAACTCCTGGTTTAAAAGGAGATGCCTGGTGACACAAAGAGGAAGAAATTCCAGCAGTTTGAACACACCTTCCAGAAGCAGTGTATGGTCAAGAAAGCACTTGCAGCCAGCTCCTTGACCCCAGTTCAGTTGCTGGCACTGAAGTGAACCAAGTGCACTCTTGTGGGACTGCACATCCTCTGTTCTGTTGTACTGACACCCACACTTCTCTGAGGCACAAAAAATGCCAGGCCTTTGCTGCCAAGACCCAAGCTACTCTTTCCAATTCACTGTTCTAAAGATTTTGACGTAGCACTTTGTAGCCTGCCCAAAACGTAATACACACGTAAGTGACCAGGTTCTTTAAAGAAGATCAAAGAAATAAAATAAATAATTATTTTTAAATAATTATTAAAAAACAGTAGTCCAGCATCCTGTTCTAATCGATACTACCTTGCACAATTTCCATCTGCACAGCTGAGCTCCGTGCTCCATCTCAAAATAATTCAGCCAGGTGGTGATACTTGTTGACAGTATTAAAGGTCTCAGCACTTCTGGAGAGTTCTTACTTGGAAAGAGCAAGCCCCTTTGAGTTACTGTAGGTTATTTAACTAAATCAAGTTTCACATGTAACTATTACTTATTTTTTAAAAAAGCTCAATTTAAAACATAAAAACGGTTTCTATAATCCCATCTCCGGTGTAGAAAGCCAAACTAAGAGTGTTACAACATTTTTGCATGAAATACTTGTTAATAAAAAACCAGAGATGGTGACAAAAAAAGAGGAGGAAAAAACCCCCAAATTCCAACCAAACCAGATTCTGAATTATTGTTTGTCTGTTTTAATCACCATATATTGCCAAAGCAGGCGAAGGCTGATTCACCAAGCAGTGTGCATGAAACTAAGCTCATCATTACTTAAAAGATATATCATTTATTTTCAGATTAAAATTTATTCTGCTTGTATTTAAAAAAGAAAAAAAAAAGGAAAAAAAAGTGGACTGTGAGATTACAAAACTAAGGAAACAACATTTAACCTTGCTAGTGCATTGACACATCAGAAAGTAGCAGCCTTTCCAATTAAAACAACATTTCAAAAATGTAAAGGCTCTTCTGCGGTTTTTATTCAAGTCTAAGGTTTAGGCAGGACTGAGAAATTTTACCTGTACGTCTATTAGCACCTAACAGGCATGTGTAAGTGCTTATAAAACTCATGTATAAGTGCTTATAAAACTATATAGTAGAAATAATTATAGACTAGCTTAATGTTTGGCTTAACTAGACAGAGATGTAGATAAATCTGTGTAAACGCATAGCAATAAAATACTTACAGCTTCCCAGATTAGGGACTATTTCCAACTTGGCCACACTCCCTACTATACTTACTAGCTAATATTAATTCATATAAAGGTAATTCAGGCAATAGGAGAAGTGCAGAAGATGAGCAAGTCCCTCATTTTTCCTACAGCATTCCTCTTATTTAGAGCTATTCTTTGTGCAAGAAAATAGCTGTGTTCAGCTGAGAATGCTGGACCAAGGGCAAGACCTTGAGCCACAGCACCATAGACCATACGGGTAAATGGTCACATGAATATAAAAATTACAGCACACTGAGGAAAAAAAAGGCATTAGACTGAGCCTGTTGCACACTCACCCACGAACAAGCCACACCAGGTATTACTGGCAGTGAAACACATTATTTTTAAAGCGGCTCTTGCTTTAAAAAAATCGTTGAAAATTGCAAATGCCTCTGCTGTCTGATACGGTGGGCAGTTGCTCTTAACATTGATTTTGGTCCCTGGCAGCTGCTTATCCATCTAACCAGTTCAGCAGCAACTGCAGATTCTACCACTGGATTTATTATAATCACTTTTTTAAGTGTTTGAGCTTAAAACTTGCTCAAGTATACATTAGTAAATCATCATCACTCCACTCACCTTTGAAAGCAAATGCAAATGTTCTGGTGACTGCGCCTGTATTCACAGAGCAGACCTACTGACAAAGCTGCTGCTGTCTGCCACACACGCACGAGAACATGAGCTGAAATTACAGTAATTTCTATAATAGCTAAAATACAATTAATATATCTTATGTCCAGAGAATGCCGTGAAACATTTCTTCCCCCACATACTTTCTGTGTGGAAAGTAATTTGCAGTATTTCAAAGTGCTATCCAGAAACTGCACCCAGCAGCCACGCACAGGAGGAAAAAGAGAGCCAAGCCCTGAACCGAAAAGTCTGGTTTTCCTTCTGCAGACTCAGAGTGACGCTGATATTCACAGGCAGTTTCTATGTTTCTGTCTATCTATTTTAGTACGGCTCCTCAGCCTCCTCGTTCGGGGCGGGGAGGGGGCAGAAAGGAGTTTATCTCTGGGACATTTTCAACTGGTTGAGAACTGGCAGATGCAGGAAAAGACACAGGAGCAGGGCAGGGCGGTGTGGAATGAAAGGTAAGTCTAGTCCAGCAGGGAAACTGAAAACTCCTTATAAGAGAAGCTTTATTCGAGCTTCAGGAAGCAAAAGAGACAAAGAGGAGCATAGCTGCTCGCAGAGTGTCTGTGGCTGTGTGATGAAGCAACCGTCCTCTTCTTCACTGCCTTTGGCAAGCAGTTCAGTCCATTTCAGGCAAACACCTGAAAGCTCCATGAGATGATAAATGTTATCCCAACCTGTTTGAGTTTGCTGGGCAGAGTTTACTGCAGTATTTCTGTTTTCCTTGTTCCTGGTGACAGTGCTTTGCTTTTTTTTTTTCTCTATCATTTTGAGTAGTCCTAGTGCCAAAATTTAGCAGAAGCTTTCTTTATTGGAACAGTAGGCAACACAGATTTCCTACAGAGACATTTTTGTTCAGATTCTCAGGAGTCTCAAATTTCAGTGCTACTATTTTAAAAAAAATAAAACCGTTTCTGCTATTTTTCCGTTATAGTTTCAGAGTATAATTTTTAGTCTGACACAGTCATTAATGTCCTATAAACATTTATTATTGTAGGAAAATATGTTCATGAATATGTGACAAGATTAAAAGGAACATAGGTTAATACGTAAGTATTTATTATCATTATTTATTACTTTTAATACTGTAGTGCCTGTGAGGTCTAATCATAAACCTGGACAAGTAGAACAAAAGAATTCATCTAAGAAAAGCATTGTGGAGGACGACCTTATAATACCATAGTGGAATTACTCTTTACAAAAGCTCTCAAACTCCAGAACTGAGGCTCGAAACAGCGGTTTCCCCTGTCGGAAAAACTTTGAATAAAATTCTCAGTCATACAGATGAACAAAAGGCAGTGAAGCTACTTCAGAAAGTAAGGTTTCAAAAGGAGTCTCATTTGCAAACAGAAGGCTTTCCTTTCTGGAGGCCAGACAGCTAAGACCATATTAATGCAAAACACCAATGAAGCTGAGATGAATCATCAGTGTTGAAGAAGACAGGAGCTTCACACGGAAAGAACTAGCTGACTTGATCAACAGAACCTAAATGTACCTCAGGGGTACAAAAATAACACAAGGAGCCATTGAAATTGTAGCTTTAAGCTGGAAGTTATCAGCTAGAAATGAACAGGGAGACTGCAATCATAGCAGATCACAGAATGACTATGAACTGCCAGCACGCTGCACCCATGAAAAAGGCAAATAGGATCCTGGATCGTACACAGAGAACAACTCCCATAGAAACAGATCTGTATTAAAGCTACTACAGCCAGGAGAGTGCACAGGAAGACTGCCCATGAATCTGGTCTTCCAAGTGCAAAACGGATCATTTCAGCCTGGAGCAGATTGAGGGGAAGGCTACTCTGATGACTTCTAGGCTCCGTCTACTCTTCTGTTCTGCAGGAGGAGCTAGCCTAATAAACCAAAGATTGTGAGGGAGTATGATGTAGTCCGTAAATACAACCAGACATTTAACGATGAAAAGGAGCCTCTAAGCTACAAGAAAACGATGCCACAAGAACAAAAGGGCATTAATCGTCCAGCAATAAATGCAGGGTGGAATTCTAAAGAATGTTCCTAATGAAAGAAATAATATTTTGCAGGCAGCCCTCAGACCAAAGCAGTGGGGGGATGAAAACACTGCCTAGCCTTGAAATAGAAATTGGTATCTGTATTAAATGGGATGAAATGAGATGCACACCTACAAATTACCGGGGAACAAGCCCAGTGACCTTCTCCTTTCCACTCCAGTGTTCCTATGTGATGTTTTCCCAGCCTATTTCTATCATGTAAACTGGGGAATCTATAAGAAACAACAACAAAGCTTGACTGTGAATGTACATTAAATATTGAAAGATCTTTTAAGTTATTTTCTTCTTAAAAGTAACCTTTAAAATATCATCTATAAACGTACAACTACAGCCAAGTCACATCACTGTAAGTACAAATTGGGACTAAGAGAAAAGGCTGGACAATTCTGAGTGGTGCAGTGACAGGCTGTGACTGTTCACTGCTTCTTTTGACGGAAGAGCTGGAGTGAAATGTGAAAAACTGTGAAAATAGCCTGTTAAATAAACAACAACAAAAACCAACAGCCCTCCTCCTGCCATCTCCTTCTGCCCCTCCAAAGCCTCACCAAAGCCTAGCAACCAGAGGGCTGGCTCCTTGTGTGACTTGTGGTCAAGTTGCAGAACTCCTTGCTATGGGATGTTGTAGATGCTAAGACATCACAGGATTAAAAAGAGGGACAACGGACAAGTTGTCATTCCATTAATATGTTAAGACCTATTAAATACAAGAAACGTCTTCTAAAGCAGAAGTCCCCAACCACCAATGTTTGGAAGGTGAGCGCTGTCAGCAGCAGTTTCACTTAGTTTATTAACTACTGCGCTGTTGCAGCACTGCTGTTCTTGCATTAGATCCAACCAGCAGAACAGAGTACAGGCTTATTTACCCCATATTAGAAGAGATTTCAGTTTGGTTTGAGGCTTTGGCAGCAGCAGGTCTTGGCTTCGCATTCTGCAGAATGTAGCATGCAAGTAAACTGCCTCCACAGAGCTCTGCAGAGGTGCTGTGGTTTTCCTGTGCTGACCCTACACCTTACTCCTTCCCAAAGGTTTTTTCTGAAAATGAGAAGTCTTTTTCCACTTTAAGAATCAATGCACTCCTTCCTATAAAACGAGCTTAAACCTCGCTCTGATTGTCTGTTATGCCTTTTTAGGATTCCAAGAGGAAAAAAATAGCTGTACAGAATTGACCAAAGGGAAAAAAAGAGGCCAGCGAAACCCGAGCAAACAACACAGACACACAGCTCACCACATTTCATCATTCCCACTTCATAGCACTTCCGTAGCCGGCATGCCTGACAGCTTTTGCGCCTGTTTTTGTCTATCGTGCATTGATTGGTAGCCGGGCAGATGTAATCGTTATGTCCTGCAGCAGAGCGAAAAGAGAAAATTCAGCATCTCCAACAGTCTCTCTTGGCTACTTCTGAATTAGGTCTTTCTTTATCTTAAGCATCTCAACTTTTTCATACGCCCGTATCTAAGCTCCACTAGTTTAACTGATGCAAAAATGCATATTTATCGTATACTGAAAACATCATTCTGTAGCCTCAAATAGTAACCAAATAACACAGACTGGCTGTTACTGGTCAATACTAGATAACCAAGAACCTTCTAATAGCAACTCATCCTTTAAAATAGGACATATGCGCTTGTGGAAATTTGCTCCCAACCTCCCAGTTCCTACTGTGTATTGGGACTCTACAGATGGCAGACCATCGATTTTTGATTTCCTCAGCAGAGTTGAAAGCAGCAGCGCACACAGCTTTGGTCCTGCAAAGATTTAGGTAAACCACAGCTCTATTTACTGAACTCTCTGACACGGTGAGTTCCAGGAATGAAGAAGCCTTTAGAGGACTGACCCTGGACCAAAGTTAATTCAAAAAAGCAGCCCAAGAGGAAAAAAAAAAGCTGTAGTATAACATAATGCACACTGCAGAGTACAAAGAAAAGCACAAGCAGAAAGCATAATTTTTAGTCACTGTGGACAAGTGCTTCTCTTATTTTCACCAGTTTCCACTTCAGCTTCTTTTGTTGTCTTCTCACCTCACCTTGTCCCCACCCCAAACCCCTTTACATTATTGTATTTCATTAATCAATAATCTGGTCCAAAGTTTCATTACTGTAAACTGGGCTTGAACACGCTTTCGGTGTAAATACAACCAAATAATCTCCTGCCAAATAGCGGAAATCTCTCTTGCAGTAGTTATCAAAGGATGCAAAAATATTCTCTCATTTACATTTCTTAATGCCTTTTCTCCCAGGTTATTTTTAAAGTTATTTGTTTCAAACTTTAAGGAGAGATCAGGCTAGGATACAGCTACCAGAATGTTTTTTACTTATGCAAGTCCAAGAGTTCATGACCCCAAGAGTAATTATTTAACTGAACCATTGTGACTATTTCCTCGCAAAATTAAAATAACTTTAACCTTGAATTTTTGAACCATCAATTTTGAAAAGAAGACATCAGGTTACAGTTCGTCCCATTTCCTACAGGGAGATATGACTGAAACACAAATTACTCCTTATCACTCTTCACACAACATGGGGGGAAAGGAGAAGGAAGCTCTCTGCTGCGCTATAACCCAGGCACACAGGAGCACAAAGCGGCCTTGGGATACTTCAGCTCGCAGGCAGATGTTCAGAGATGCGGGATGAACTACAGCGCACCATGAACTGGGATAAGCAGAGGAGACCACACACAGTTGCTCAGGCATGCCATCTAATTTTAATTGGACGTTGGCCCAACATTTTGGTGTACGGTAGGCCCAGAAATTTTTTGTTTTTATAAGCAGTATCCTTCATAACAACAGTTGCAACTAAGTGCTTGATAGTGTTTTATGCCAAGAATTTACTTTCCTTTCTTTGAATGACAAAAAAATGTTACCTGACAGGGTACATTAAGGTGTACAAAAGGCCACAATGGGTAACTTGTTCACAGCCAAAGCACATGCGAGCAACACGGAGCAGGCAAATAATTTTCCTGACATAAAAAACTTTGAGATCAAATTCAGGGTCCATTTGTGACAAACTGGAGACAAAGTTCTCTTCAATTACTTTAGAAATCAAAAGAACTTGCACCAGCTTATAGAAATTGCTATTCACCCATGCAGAACTTGCACAACAAATTGAAAAGGCAAAGAAGTTTTGAATTAAATTTGATTCTAATGGTGACGCCAACTCTGCCATATTGATTCAGAAGTAAATATCTCAAGATTGCCAAAGGCTTTGTCTGCAGAAGAGGAAGGGAACATTGCAGACCAAAAAATGACAGGATTTTCTGTGCTAGTATCTGCATGTAGTCAATCCAGTTAAACTTCCACCAGGAGGCTCCAGATGAGGCCAAAGAACATGAAAACTAGAGCCGAGGTTAAAGACATGAAGTGCTCCAAAGCTGCAATATGATGCATAAGTCACTGCCCACAGGCTGTGGCAACAAACGTGGAGACCTACACTTCCTTGAGGCTGCGGCCACTCAGCAAATTGGACTATTTGGAAATATTTAAGAATTTAAATACTGAAGTGGAAATTTTAGATAAAGGGATCTGGCAGAGTAAGAAATACTGAAATGCAGGCTCTGGAGGGTGGAGGGCTGAGAAATAACAGTAATCAGGTTTGCACCTAGTACTTGCTATGTGTAATTTTATATCCTACATACTGTGCAGATATTATACACTATAACTCAACAGCTCCAGGCAATATACTCTTGTCAAGAACAGCTCCTGGCAAGCAGTTTTCAGACAATTACCCACTCTAACTGTGTCTATTATAACAAATTCACAATTACCATCTCTACTCTGGGGCATAAACTGCGATCACATTCACAGGTCTGCAGTGCCATCCCATCGAGGCCTTTGCTACAGGGCCTTCCTGTGCTATGCATTTCACCTCTTCACTAAAGAATTCAGCTGCTCACTTTGTAATGTTTCCAGATCTTGGTAAGAGCCAAAAGACAGTCAAATCATGAGTTGCTCTATTTTCAGCATGCAGCATCACACCCCAGGATTTTATGCCAACTCATTACTAGATCAACCGCTGCAGCCCCTGATCATACAAAACAACTTCTTTGAGCAAAGTTATCAAAAGCTGATTCTCTTACCTTGAATACTTCTTTTGAAGAATGCTTTGCAGCCTTCACATGACCAGACCCCATAGTGATATCCTGAAGCATAGTCACTGCAGACTGCACAGAAGTGAGCATCCCTTTTTGAGCCAGGATTATTTGCAATTGGGCTTGTGCAGTCGTTGCCATTAGTTTTTCTTTTTAGCATTTCTCTGATAGAAAATAAAAACATCTGCTAGAAGAGGAAAAAATTAATCCACATTGCAAAGCATTTCATTATTTTCCACTGTCTTCTATCTCTCTATATAGAGTCATCTTATTACTGAACATGGGATAGTTTGAAACACTGCTAAGCATTTTTCTGATTAGGTTATTCAAAGCACATAGTCCGATCCCAGAGCTTTCAGCGATGACAGACTACAAAGTCTTGGAGTACTGCAAGGGATAAAACTGGACTGCTGATGTGTCATTCACATGAACTCTGGGAAAATCATATGGAATGCTGACGGATCTTGAAGAATTTTTGGAAACGCACAAGTCCAAGAATTTGTGAACCATTTGCCTTTGAGAAGCTTCACATGGAAAAAAGAACTTAAACAGTTTGGACTCACATGATAAACACTACCACAAACAGAGCTGCACTTGCTTCGTACTGTGAACAAGGCAAAATTCTAGATGCAGCAATACATATCTAGCATCAAGTATTTAATCCTTTAAATGAGGCTTTATTAATTCAATGAGATGCTGGAGTCAAATACCTTGAAATGTGAATCTCAGCCTACAAGATCAACTTACAATGTTAGACAAAGCTTTCTGCTCGAAGTGACAACCCACACTGATCGTCCTAATGCTAAATAAAAGGAAGTCTAAATACAGGAAGAATGGAGAAACACAATTATTAAAATACATTCATACATAAAAAATATTGCTCCGTATAAAGTAATAAGATGTATGCATTCCTGAAGTGCTGCAAATAGTTCCAACTTACTGGAAATATTCTTAGTGGCTGGATTAAAATTAGAACAGGATAAAAACATGAATTAACAGCAATGCTCGACACCAAGATCCTGTAAACAAACAGCAAGTGGAAAGGAACTTAGATTATCAGTAAAGTGGTTTTTAGGTATAGGAAGAACATCTATCGTGTGCTTTTTATCCGGACCTCATTTCCTTGGAGGTTTTAGCATGCCTTACCTTCATTGTCAGGACAGTTTCTAGACAGAGAGAATATACTGTCATGAGCAAACAGCAGCAGTTTGACAAAAGGAAAGCTGTAGAGTCAACAGAAGTTAGAAACTGCAGAATTTTCCTCATCCTACCTTCTAGCAGGGTTAAGGAGAAGAAGAACTATAATTTGAGATAAGACAGCAGGCAAAATGGTTCAGAACTTCTAAAGAACAAGGGTACCTTGCCAGGGCAGAAGAAACCTGTTCACCAGGAAGAGCAAGTTGAAGGGGAACAGTGGAGACGTGCTGAAAGCGCTGTCAAAGAGCCTTTAACTAGCACTTTAAAAGTAGACTTTGTGCTGGTTTCATGACAGGAGGTAAGGTCAAACACACCCACATGCCAACTAGAAACCATCGAGTTTGTAAGTATTTGAGGAGTGCACACTCCAATTTCCTAGTGGAAAATTTGGAAAGAAAAAAAGGCGGTCATAGAGCAAATGACAAAAGAGAAAAATTAAGGTGTTTGCTGTACAGTTAAGTTACTGCAAGCTTTTTAAAAATGTTAATTCATTCAGATATCGCAGGGCATCAGAGTATTTACATGTTTAAGGAGTCTGTTCTGGTTACACACTCAGCCTCCTGTTAATGGGTTGCTGAATCCCTACATCATTTCCCCTTCTGCCACACTGAGCACCCCAGCGCAGGGGAACCCTCCTCTAGAATAAAGGGACCGTATCATACACGCCTAACGTGCTGCTAATACAGAGAGGAAAAAGCATTGCTATTCTTTCCTTTTCCCCGTATTTGAACGAATAAGTAATTCGGTGTTTCATATTATTAGAAGAGGTGTGTTTATACTCCCTTTACTTGGGAATCATGACCCAATTGTGAGAGTCAGAAGACAACCAGAATCAGCCAGAGAGCATATCAGTGACTGATACGCTGTACAGAGCGCTGTTGATTGCCCTTGTTAAAGCACCGAGACGCTATGGATGAAAACAAAGAAAAACCACACACTGTAACATCTTACTGAGGAGTGGTGTTTTTTACCTCCCAGCCACGACAAGTGCTTTAGAAAACACTTTTTCTTTCCCTGCTTAAAAGTTTAATGACCGTCACCCTGCACACATGCAGGGTGCATGACTTCTGCAGACTGTGGCAAACAGCTTGTGCACAGAGCAACCATGGGGCATGAATTCCTCCTGCAGGCTGAACCGGCCTCAGATCTGCTCGTCTGAATAGCTGCAGCGGCACAGCAGGAGGTTCAAACCCAATCATTCTGTTGCTGTCATCTTTAAGGACCACAGAACTAGGAAATAATTGAGAGCTTTAAGGTACGCGTTCCTTACCCTGCAATCAAAGAGCGCATCCAAATCGCAAACCAGAGCAGGCAGTCCCACACATGGTTAGAGAACACCTCCTCATGTTCTGGGACTGGCGCACTGCAGCATCTTCAGCAGAGGAATGAGCTGCCAGGTCCTCCAGAAGAACTGGCAGTAGCTGGCTGGATGCTCACAAAGCTCCTGCACTGAAGGTTGCAGGATAACGAGGGGTTGTACCCTGGCTGCTGCCAAGGAGCCACACGGACAAAGATTTATCACTTTATACCTCCTAATACTCCTCTCTATATTACAGCTGTGGTTCCTATATAGAGATATTATGTTTTCATTAAAAGAATGAAGAATTCTTTGAAAGTAACAAGTCAGCGATTTCCTATTAGTCATCAACAGTGACGATTACCCTACAGGAGAAGGAAAGAGCGAGACTATTTAGGTTATTCAGTATCTATCGTGTCTCCTAATTACCTCTAGCTCTGTCACAGCGAGTGCTTGATGTTGTCACACCTGGAGAACCTGAACATAAATTCAACTTTTTATTAAAAATGGAGAAGAGTGGCAAGGATTTGACCTAAAGAGCAGCAAGATTTGCTCCTGGCATTTGTTAGATTTTTTTTTACAACTTGAACTATTGCACACTATAAAAAGAAAGAGAGGGAAAAAAACCCACACTGAGGAAAAAAAAAATCCATTAAGCCAAAAATTAATAGTCTGGATTTTATAATTTATTGCAATTCTTCCCTCCCTCCCACATGGCTCATTCAGTGTCTGGAGATAAGTCAATTCCATACGAGCCTAAACTATGGGATGAAGAAGGCTCTTCCTTTCTCAGAATGTGTGCAAGATGATGGGCAAAAATCAGCTGAAGAATACTTTTTCAATCTTTATTTTCCTCATTTTCTAGTGACTGTACCCCCAAAACCCTTTACTTACGCACTCTGCCTGCAATTAGCCAGAAGCATAAGGAAAATAATAGAAAGTAAGAACAAATTAAGTTTCAGAAACATCACTCTGGCAACTTCATTAAAGTTTCCTAATACTTTTTAGAAAGGAATATATCCGATCAGTTTTAAGATAAACCTTTTGTTTCTTTCATTAAACCCCTTTTATCTAGGGGATGAAGGCAAAAATCCATTTCAGACTACTTTTAAATATCATATAATTGCACTGTCACACTCCTTTTCTCTTCATGTCATTTTAATATAAATTGAGTGATCCTGCACCAACAAAATTCATGAGAGTATTTCTATTGCCAGGACCTATAATGCAAATAAATATAGCAGAGTCTTTATCACCAAATAATTGCCATTTCACATCTGTTTTTACATGGAATACAATTGATTTTTCATGGAACTACTGGTGCAAAGTAACACTACACTGCATAACATTTGCATTTAGCAAAGTTAAATAAGTTTCTTCTGTATTTGTGTAATGAACCTCCTGTGTGGAAAGGGAACGCCGAGAATTCAGATTCCTTATTTCAAGGTGATCTACAAGGAGACCCGAATTTCACAACCATCAGCTTTAGCAAGGTGGACCACAGCAACTAATAACAGAAATTTACACCCAGGGAGAATAAACTCCTCTCACGGTGAGACTCTTGCTTTAATTAGAGAAGTAAAATAAACTGTGTAACAGGCATAAATATGTAGCGGTGCTTTCCTACTCAGCTTTCAAACAAAACTCTTTCTCTCAAACGACAATGCTGTTTAAAATTACACTTGGCAGCATTAGTCTCTCCCTTCCCCCAGAGCTATTCTTTTAAGTTTCAAGAGCTCTTCCTTCAAGGTATAAGGTGCGAATCTGTAGCGTCACAGTCATTGTTCCCATGGTAATAAATATAATGTTCATGACATTAATTTAAGACCGCACCGAAGCATATAGCAAAAGGAAACACAGGGCTTTTTTCCTCTACAGCCTTATTTCAGGACAGATATCCACAATAAGGAGATAACAGCTCTTGCTTTTTGTGTTTCCATGTCAAATTAATAATTTTTTTCTTTTTTTACAACTTCTGTACACAAAGGGGGGGTCCAGCTACCACGCAATGCAGTAGTTACTTGCTGCTGAACAAATAGAGGTCACCCATAAATTCAGAATCCGAATTTCATTCTTCTCTTGAAGTCAGGTCATCATCAGCTACAAGAGCAATAATCTGTATGAATCTATACAAATGGCTTCAGACTTACTGAAACTCCAGTGTGGCAGGTTTGGCTTCTCTTCTGACTATGTAGAGAGCACACTGCAGAGCATTAGAAGGGGTGCTCTTGCTCTTGGGTTATTCCAGCTGTGTCCCATCATCTGGAAAGCCTCAAACACTAACCTACAGCCCCTTACTAGGGCTGCCAAAGTTCTGAAACATTAACCGAAGTGGGAAGAGTTTGGATGTTAGCCCTGTTCACATTAGACTTGCTTGGGGAATTCTTCTGTATAGCAGTGCTACCCAAACGGCCTCTCCCAATCCACACACCTACACCTAAAGTAGACCCGCACTCCAGCACTGCCTGCTGCTCTCTGCTGTCTCCAAACAGCAACTACTCAGGTGGGCAGGTTGAAGATCTGTGCAGCCTACGAGTCTACAGCAGACACAGATCTGACGCCCAGCCCTGTGCAGACAACATAAGGCGCACCTATTGCAGAAGGAATGTGGGTAGTCTCAAAAATAGCACAAAGCCTTTATTAACAATTGAAATAAACTGTTGCCAGAACACACTCTTTTTCGTACTGACACTGACTGCTGAATTAAATAAGATGCCCTATGAATAAACATACAGCTGCTAAAGGTTGAACCGCACCTGCAAAACCCTGTGCCTTTATGCAGCCAACAGCTGTTGTGCCCATGAATGGAGTGATTTCATCAGCCGATGACCTACACACTGCTTACTGTTTGTGAGATGAGTAACTGTGCAAAACGGAGAAATGTTTTTGCAGATAGTTTCTTAACAGCTGAAAACATAGCCCGTGAATCTGCCATTCACAACGCCTTCATAACGTCAGGTGAGAACAGCAACAAGAAACGAGGTCAGACTTTTCAGTAGCAGCACCCTTTCGAACACGATGCATGCCAGTGTGTACTGCTAAAACTGAGAACGAAGAAAATACTTCTCTTTGATTCTAAGTTCATGAAAAGCCTTCATAACTATTAGATGCAGAACAAAAAATCTAGATAAAATGGAATTTCAAATACATTGTATGAAAAGGAAAAAAGAATTAACCTTTACTTCTTTCACTCAAAGGACTTAATTTGCCAGAGCAAAATTCATTTTTACTACACAAAGTAGTACCTATCAGTCATGGACTTTTGTTTATACACAGTAAATAGTCCCCGCATTGGAGGCATTTGCAGTGCATTTGTCAGCGTATCGTTCTCTAAGGAGGTATTGAAAAAGAATCCAGAAGTTACGTTAAAGGAAAAAGTAAAACAAAACCACAAAACCCAGGACTGATTTAGTGGTTGGTGGAGGTTTTCTGGTTTTGTTTCGTTTTTCAGAGAGGCCAACACATAAAATTCAAATGTTAAAATAAAAAGACTTAAAAGAACTAAAGAAACTGTAAATAATTTTCTGGAAAGATTTAAAGCAATGAGTAGTATTGACCTGGTCACAGGTAGCACTGGCTCCATCGGTCTTGCTTCGCACCATGGGCTCTTTGGCTGCTCTGCGTACAGAAGCGACGACTGACAGTGCAACGTCAGAGGGGAGAGATGGCCGGGAGCAGACCACAGCACACTGGGGCTTGATGTTTGCCTCACAGATGCACTCTCCGAGTCACCAAAATTGCTGGTAATGTTGTAATTCATCACAGCAGGACTGCAGAACGCCATGGCAGAACATTCATGTCTGTTTTCCACGTAAGAAGAGGGAATATAGACTGGACTGTGCTCTGCTGTCAACGTGGGCTGATTGCAGCTGTAGGGAACTGGGGAGATGATACCAGGGGGTGAGCTTTTAATTTCTGTTTTATTGCATTCAATGTCCTGAAGTGGCAGCAACTGAGAAAAGTCCTTGTGAGAAGATGCACACAGGGACATTTTGAAGCAAGACTGAAGATGGTTGTTTAAATATTCATCCTAAGATGGTAAAGTATAAAAAAAGTTGAATTAAAAGGTAAGAAATTTCAATATTAAGTCTTTTCTACAAAAGAAAAAGGAATCAGTAAACCAGAAAATATAAAAATATCCTGTTAAAACAAAATACATACCGAATGCACTTGAAGAGTCAATGTACAAACTTGCTGCCTTTAAGAAAAAGAAAGCTTTCTAGAACGTCCTTAAAAATAAAGGCTAAGAGGCATGTTAAGTTTAGACTCCCTTAAAAAATAACTAAAAATATAAACATAGCTTGAAGTCTGAAACAAAGATTCCAGTGACAACTTGGATCTAAACAAAAGTAACTCGTTATAGCCAGGGTAAAACTGCTCTGTGTCAGAGACAAAATTACCCTGCGGTCCACAGCTATGGAATGAGTGCCCTGAGAAATGAATTCCCTTTATAAAAACTCACCACCTCCTGCTCCTGCAGATATTTTGGTCGGACACACACACACACACACACACACACACACACACACACACCTCCTTCAACTTCCAAAACCAGAACTCCACTGCACATCCTTCTCCACAGAAGAGGAAAACGTGTAATGGATGTCAGTAAGAAATGCAGCTTGAGCACTGAGAGGTGCTGCCATTATAAAAGTAGAAAATGCAAAGCTGCCTACACAGAACTCGAGCAATTTTGTAAGGTCTGGAAGCTTTATAATTTCCACCACTATCCATATCCATCCCAACTTCTCCATTCTTCCTCCCATCAGAAACAGCTATCAAAACAGAGACCTTAATTTGCCCAGAGTAAATACTCTTTGCCAGATTTAGGTACCCAAATTATGTAAGGGAGAAATAATTTTTAAAATAATAATAAAAAAGCCCACCAAACCCATCCTCCTAAGACATACCCGCAGTTGTGGAAGCATTACTTTTACAGTAGCATTTAAAAATATTTGTTATTCCTCACTATGGGTTTCATCTGCAATTCATCCCAGCTTTGAACACAGACGTTCAGCCCTCTTATATCTTGCAATCCAAAACAATTCTCTTTCCAAAACAGCAAGTTCTGGCCCTCAGAAATGATACTGTAGTGTATTTTAACAGATTTCATAAGATCCTGACATGAAAAATCACACGATAATTAAAAAGTCACCCACAGCTTCGCTATTCCAGAAGTGGCCAAAGTGTTGATGCTAAATAGTCTTACCTTTTTTCACCTCACGTGATCATAAAGCAAGAGGAAGATTCAAATACAGGTTTGCTGAAGTACCAGTAACCTCCCCATCCCAAAAAATCTCAGCCAGACGGCATTTCTAATATGCCATCCTGGGGCATTGACAGCTTTTTCTCCTCTAGGACCAGGACTGAGGGTAGAAGCATTAACCAAAAAATGTAAGAAATAGTATTTTTGAATAAAATGGATAGCTTAGAGCTCATCCTTCCTTCTCAGTTTACACTCAGTTGTTGAAACTGAAGATATCTGTAGAAATAACCAGGAACTCATTTAAATCATCTCAGGCACTTCAGACCCAGCTGCTGTTTTTTCCTCTGTGGGAAACAGGAAAAGGAGATAACTCAGCAGCTGTTCATGTCCAGAGTTGCTGCCCTGGGACTCCCATGCAGCCAAAGCCGAGGAGTCTGACCCCACTCCTCACACAATCTACATGCTTCATTTGCCCCAGCCAGATGAGTCACATTTCCCTCTAAAAGAAACCAAGCATCATTCAATTTTCACTGCAAAAAGCACTGAAAAATCTCAAAGGCGTTTTCACTTCCAGATTATGGGGGGAGTACCCAGAATAATTTTTTAAGCAGCAAATGATAGAACTAAGAAATTAGCTTAAGACTATTTGCAGTGCTTACTACGAATGGGCCCAGAGAGGACACCAAATTCAAAATGCATTTAAAGCTTCTGGGTGGTAAAACACTCTTTGCACTCTCAGAGGCTGCACGTATTCAAGGCGTGTGTGGACACTGCGCTAACTGCATCCCTCTGCTCTCCTGCAAAGGGCACACGGTGCAGGGTAACCCCAAGCCCTTCTGAGATAAGGACCTGGGAGGCACTACAACTACATGTCTGTTCTAGTCAGCTAGAGACGTTTTGGTATATAAATTGATAGCTTTTTGCAGCAGGCAATCGGTTGTGTAGTTTCCCTCCGACATTTGGAAAATATATGTACATATGCTGCAAAAACAGAGAAAACAGAGAGAGCTGGTATTACACAATTCCATGAACTGAAATCAACTGAGCTTCAAGTCATGGTTTTCTGGAGAGGTAATAAAGTACAGTGGTATTCGGGATAACTGCCTGCTTAGCAGAAGGGCATATTCTCTCCAAAGGGCACCACACAGTATTTAGAAACACACAGAGAAGTTACGAGAAGCAAAAGTGAGGTTTGTTTTAGAGGGAGGAGTCCATGCAAGCATGAAAAGTCAGTACAGCCTTGGTCGAAAACAGACTGCTCATGACTTAGTTACAAGAGAAAGAACTGGCTTCCAGGAGGTTGAAGAAAGCTCTACCCCTAGCCTGAAGCAGACTGCAATATGGTGAAAAAAATACACGTTGGCTTAAGATAATTAACGTGGGTAGCAGAAATAGTTTAGCCACAGTAGACTGCAGATCTATATTGTTCACATTTCCTTATACCCGGAGAATTTAGAACTGGAAGCCCAGAGCCTAAGAAACAAAAGGAAGCTGCTGAAATTATCCAGTGTTGCTCAGAAGGTCCTAAAAACTGACTGCTGGACTGTGAAGTTCTGTGTCTTAACGAAGGGCTGCATATTGAGGGAATCTTGAGATTCAAGGCTAGAGAAAAGCTCCACTAACACCAATACTTCAGAAGGAAGCACGGCCACATTTAAACCAAGGATTACAATAAGTAGTGAAACAGGCTAATAAATTTGTTCCATCCTGATATAACGTCCTTATATTTTAAGCATCATTCATTAAACCAAAATTAACTTCTACACAAAATGGAATCCTGTTCCAACACGCCCTCCTTCTCTGAAGAGAGACTTTTAAAAGCATGACTCAATTTTAGAGTATATTACTTAAATCTGGGCTATCAGCACTGCACTGGATCTCTACCAGACACAGAAACAAAACAGGTATCCATTAGTTTTGTACTACAGTCTTCTCTAAGTATAGAACAGTGGAGACTGCAAATGTTTCAATCCACTTAAGCCAGTTTAGTTTAGCAAGATACTCAACAACTAAAATGCCACTATCATGTAAATAGCCATTTTGCCCAATTCCTTGAGTAACACTTACCATTCACAAATCTAAAACAGGGTTCACATCTGGCATAACACAAAATAGTTCCATTGGCCCCAATGCACAGCAGATGACACCACTATCCACAAAGATGTAGGAACAAAAATGTGATGCTGTCAGTGTTGTCCACCAAAAAAATAGGTTTCTTGTCTTTAAAGAGCTCTACATACAGAACGCAATGTGTCTTGAGAGTCACCACGCAAGACACACCAGGTCAGGCACAAGAACTGGTTTAGATGTCACAGTCAAACAGACACATGGGTAAATAATTAAGCCATCTGACCTATTTGAACAAACTCAAAAGCCAGTTACTGCACATTACAGATACCAAGTATCTTTTTAAAAGCCTTGGATGACATAACGAAGAAAAAATGGGTAGGGAGGGCAGGTTGCCATGTTTTAGGGCCTACTTGGAAACATAATAAAATAGATTTTCCTAGAAAAACACAACAGTCTGCAAAGAGCAAGAGAGCGGTGGAAGTTCTCAGGCACCATTCCATCAACATACACTACAACTTGCTTAGACATTTATAGGCAAATCATATATTTTGAGCAAAGACTTTTTTGCAATAGAGAATTAAGATAACCTTCTTCTCTGCTATGCTTAAATTGAAGTACAATCGTTCTTCCTTACATTTTACTAAAGGTGATTCAGCAAGCATGCATTCCACTACTCCACAGGCAAAGCCCCTCCACGTTCTATTGATATTCTGCTAAGTTAAACTTTACGCAGCTCACTGCAACAAGGAGCTGAATCATTTTCTCAAAAAGTGATCATTAAAGGAAAGTCATTCCTGATGGCACTTGTGCTCCAAGTTTTGTGAAAAACTCATTACTCATTAAACGCAGCAGTGCCAGCTACTGCCAACAGAAGGTCCATAAGTAAACAAGTTTATTATTACCTGAGAGGGACTAGATGCAACAAGTAGGGGACAGATAGGGGAGCAAAATGAAAGTAAAGATGAATGTCCAGACCTCAGATGCTGTACTCATTCCTGCAATATTATTAGTCTTTTCTCACTGAGATCTAGACCTCCGCTGAAGAAAATACTGCAGCTTAAAAGCACAGTGGCAAGAATACTTTAAAACTCTTAAGCAAAACCAGCACTCCCTTTGGCCTGTCTTAGCCTTTGTGTTACCGAGGACACTGACAACTTCTAGGCTATTCTAAACATTCATAAATATACTTCAGGGCTCAATGCACGTGGCATACACAGAGGCACTAAGGGAACTGGGTTTGTTCCATCACAGGAACACAGGACTGCAGGGGAGGGGGCTAACAGCAGTCTTCCATTCCCTGAAGTGGAGTTACAAAGACAACAAATCCAGACTTTCATTCAGAAAAAGTGCACAAGCCAGGAGAAGAGATTACAGTCATAAGTCAGTGCAACGGAAATTCCATCTGGACATATGAAAAAATTCTCCACAGTGAGAATTAAAGACAGGAACAGGATGCTCAGAAAGGCCGTGAAATCTCAATCTTCGGAGATACGAATAAACCTGACCGAAAAAGACCCTGAGCAACTTGACCTCACTTTGAGCAGGATGCAGGATTAGTCGCTCTCCATTTTTTATTACTATGTTCATCCACTACTGGAAGCATTCAGCAGAGGAAAATTCATCTTTCCTGTGCTGGAAAGACTGAAGAATATCAAAGGATCACTAATTACCCTGGTCACCTTGTCCACTTTGTTCAAGAAGGAAAGAGCTGTGGGTCTTGTCCAAAAACAATCAGCATTTAACACTTCATGGTA